GAGCTGAAAAATGGTCTGTAATTGGCTAATGATGAGATCATCCCACTGTCCAAATTTGGTGAGAATCGAAAGTAATGCCAATTTTCTGTCACTTTTTCAATTTGTGGCCACTGGAGTGACCAAAATCGATATATCAGTCGCGATAGAGTTTTATTATTAAATTATATGACTTGTGTGACTGCTTTGCTTGCCCTTTACTCATGGAAAACACCAATTAAATTGAATCATGACTTTTATGAAAGAAAGCTGCTGTTAATAGTGTTATTATCGTGTCGTTCATATCATTCATGCCCCTACATATCCTGAAGAAAGTTCTAGATTAAAACCACTACGTCATCGGAGATATGTCAACGGCTACTATCCTACTACTGATGGTGCAATAATACAGTTTGTGTTGATCAAGTGATGTGATGTCTACAGTAAGAAAAGAATNGATTAAAACCACTACGTCATCGGAGATATGTCAACGGCTACTATCCTACTACTGATGGTGCAATAATACAGTTTGTGTTGATCAAGTGATGTGATGTCTACAGTAAGAAAAGAATCATCTAGGACTGCTTTGGAATGTGCACTGCGTTCTGACTGCAGTGTTAAGCAAACAGTAAAGTTTTAAAAGCGCGGGTATAAGATCTAACAGATCTTCTTGTTTTTTATTAAACAGATAGATTCAGTGTTTCTGGCATCTGTTCAGTTTTAGTATAAATCTACTAGCGTTCTATCACAAATGCTGTTCTGTGATTGGCTACGCTATGTACTATCTATTTAACAAATAGATTCCTTGTTGCTGTGCGTCTGTTCAGTAATAGACCACAGATGATTTCAAAATGTGGTAAGAACAAACAAGTGGCACACGAGGCGATAGCCAAGTGTGTCACTGATGTTCTTGCCACATTTTGACGTCTTCTGTGATCTATTACTGAACAGACGCACCGCAACATGGAATCTATTTGTTTTATTTAATAACGAAACAAACTACTACAGATAAAGCTTTTTTTTGTTTCAAAATCTTTCGACATAACTCGAAAGCTGGCCTTTGCCCACTTCGGCGAACACGAAAAAAGCCATTTGATGTAATCTATTGTCTATACAAAATGAAGCAATCTCATTGGTTGCTATGCATAGCAAAGAATTGTGATTGGTCCAGGAAAATCACGCCACTGTCGAACTTGACTCGAGCGTCGCTTGTCGTGGAATGAAAACTTACAGCGAAAGCAGAATTTTACTGCGAAATCTACAAATCTTAAAGAAAATGCTGAAAGTCGAGTCGGTTTTTGTCATCAGAGCAGCCCTGTGAGCTGAAAATCTTGGAGGTTGCCTTGAATATTGCAGCAGTTGAAAAATTACGCTCTGAAAACTTGTGGTTGTGGTCAACCCGAGCGCCACTTGATTCAAGTTTTGAATGAAAACAACAGCTACTCTGGTCCTGTTTTGCTGTTATCAGGAGAAATATGGGCCAAAACATGGCAACAAAACAGCCAAAAACAGCCATATTTGAAAATCGCCCTATAATGCGTTGCAAGCTTAGTGTTGAATAAATCTACATCATGTTTGCCAATAGATTGTGTCTCTATTGATACCTTACGGATTCCAGTTGCAAAATAACTACTTTGATGACAAATAGTTTTGGAATTGGAGTGATGATGCTGCTGACATTAGAGGAAAACATCATTACAATTCTTTTTGCATAGTAGGGTTTTATATTTTAAATTATCAAGCAAACTGTGGTGACTCCGCCCAATATACGAGAATATAATTTCTCCAAAGAAGCAGCCAATATAAAGCGGTTATGCTGCGTCAAAATCACCTTTACTTTATTCTAATGTCTCAAGCCCGGAGAAGGAAAGCACATTTCAGTTATGCCAAATTCAAAACCCCCAAATGCCTCTTTCATTCTTATTTGTTTTCATTTGCAGCTTGCATTTCATGATTTGTATGATGTATTTTGCTTTGCCAAAATAGAATTGCAAAATTCAAAAACAAAAGCAGCAATATCAATTTTTGTAAGCAAAAGCTGCAGCACTTGCATAGATACACCAATTATTGACCATAAATTAAAATAGTATTCTTCCTCAGTCGTGACCTGATCACTTTGCTGAACGCTTTGTTGCTGAACGCTTTATTTCAAAAATTTGATTGATATTGGACCATGTTAGTGTCTCATGGAAAATCTCTGCCCCCAGACCCCTCCCCTAAATTTCCACAAGTCACTCCACCCCCCCTCCCCCCACTGTCTTCCCAATGTTCCCCTGGATTGACCACAGCAAATTTTATCCTGGGCTCCTAAAAAAGTGTGCTAAAAAGGTGGAAGGGCTTGTTAAGAATTTCCCTAGGCAACAGCCTTGACACCTACCAGTCTCAGAACTTTCTCAAGTTAACTATGTAATACAGCATTCAATTGCAACTAACAAAATGAAAAATTAGCCCCTGACATTGGCTTTCTCTAAAATATGCAGAACTTAGTCATATTTGCATATTGCTGTTTTGTAGAGGACAGCTAAGAAATGTGCAAAGATTTATAATGCACGTACACAGCCATTGCTTACATATTAAACCTTTAGTTTGGTGTTGTTTTCGACGCCACTGCCGTTGTGGTGTGCTTAAAGACTCACTGTCGAATGGCATGCATTGCGAGTGTTTGTTTTCATGTTGATTCTGTCGCTGAAGAAAGCGCTAGAAAAATTGAAAGGGTCTGGGGCATTTGCGGACTCAAATATAATTTACTGGTAAAAACAGGTATAATGTGATTGCTTTTGATGCCATTTTACTTAGAACTGCTTTATTTTGGAAGTCTGACCTCGCGTCGCAAGGTGACAATTGTCAGCTCCAAAGTTCCTGCCCTTTGTAGGTGGCAAGTGTCCGTATGTCAGAATCGAAACAACTCCATAAAATAAATTTACTCTTTTATTTTCTTTCACAAGCATATGTATAAACAGAATTTACAGCACTTACTGTGCTTAGAATACTGTCTTAGTTATGATGTAGAATGAGAGTAATGAATAGTACTTAATTTTTTTTCATTGGCAATTTCATACTGCGCTTGAGAATCCCTACAGAGTTCTCATCGATAACTGGTCACATACAGATACTAAAATGTCTTCAGTTTGCTTTTTTTGCAAGAAGGGTTTTCATCTCCAGGAATGAAACGCAGCACAGAAAGTACTTTTCATCGATAGAAAAAATTCAAGAATTCTCACCAATGCTAGCGTTAATTTGGATGAATCTACAAGCAATGTGGTAGCCTTTTCTGAAGGCTATAGCAATGACACCGAGCAATGACACCAATATGATGGAAAATACATTAAATTAATTCTCTGTCACATACTGCAGCAGACAAGTATTGTTTCCTGTATACGAGTACATCTTCCCTACTGTTTCTCCACTGATACCGCACAGATTCTATCAGATACTTAAGAGCTTCTATGGTCTAAACCTTCCACCCGGGTTCTTCCCAAATCACATTGTACCAGCCATTGTTTGGCTTCTTAAATATGTAACAGATAATTTACCACCAACTGTTTTCCTAAAATAATCACTCCATCTAAAAGAGCGATATTGACAGACTGTGTCAATCTTCAATCTTTGCAGTGTTTTGCTTGATTTTCAATTGTTTACTGAAAAACCTGTTTTTCAGTGTGTTTTTTGTTCATCGTATGATATTATTTTGTCATGTTTGGTTAAAAACTACATATGGATCGCTTCTCTGTGACATGTTAATTAGCTTGTAAATGGTATCTAATGTGTATGTGCGCCAGCTGACTGTGCCCCTTTAAGGTTCCTAATAATTGATAACAGACGATAGTAAACTGACTGAAAAAGTGTAAGAACGGAAACTGATTTGAGTTTGAGATAGCATAGTCTTCTTTTGAGTGAATTAACAATGTATTTATGTCACACTAATCAGATTGGAGCCACTATGAACAGTCAGTCAAATAGATGAATTGTGAGTGTTTGAACTGCCATCTTGTATGTTGGCTTTGCTCACCCTGTCAGTTTGTTTCTTGACTACATGTAAATGGTTGCACATTGAAAATGCAAACATGAAATTTGCAGAACTTCGGGTTAATATTAGGCCTTTGATAATAACAGTCCATTGTCTTGTAATAAAATTGATTTTAAAACAAAGTTTCTTTCTCAAGTTATGCACTACAGTAAGTCAGTGTTTTAAAACCATAAACAATTAAATATACTGTTTGGAGGTAGTCACTGAATACTATTTATTATACCGTGTGGTACTAAATTTTTGCGGGTTCTAATTTTTGTGATTTTTGCGTGGTTTTTTATGATCTGCTAATAACGTTCCCACAGGAAATAATTCCTGCAAAAGTATTCTTTGCAAAACTTTACTCCACTGGTGAAATTATACATACAACTGTCACAAGTAGGTTCTTGTTGCTGCCCTTTATTTAAAACACCTCTTTTGTTCAGAAACAAAGCCAAGAAATGAGAAACAAAATGTTCAGAAATGAAACAAAAGGTTTACAGGAAAGGATCATCTGAAGCTACAGTGTATTCCACTAAGAAGAGCATTCTACAATTCTGCACTATAGAGAACGACTTAACTGTGGTAGAGTGACACTGATTACTGGATTACTGTGTTTAATTTACATCTCTTCATGTTTTATCACTTGTCAATAATTGACAAGTTTTTGCATTTTTGCATTTTTTAATTAAACTGCGTACAATATCATTATTGTAGGCAGTTTAATTAAAAAATGCAAAAATGTTGTAAACTCAGTTAAACATGACTTCCCGAGAATCACAGAAATTAGTACCCAGCAAGAAAAACCAGTCTTTTATGAGTATGTATGTATGTATGTATGTATGTATGTATGTATGTATGTATCTCAAAACTTAGTTCCTGCAAAATACAAAACATCGTTGATTGACAAAAATAAACTCCCGCAAAAATTTAGTGCCTTGTGGTAAGTGATAATCAACAATGCTAATAAAATTGTGAATAGAGCTTTACATGTATTTATTATTTATACATGTTACAGATACACAAACTCTGCCTCGAGACATGCAGTCATGGGATGATTTGTTTTTAATTGGATTTGACCTGAGCAACAATGGCAGTGCCAAAAATTATGTTGGAGATTCTTTCCAGAGCTGTAAAGTAATTCCCGGAAGCCCTATGTACTATGATAGCTTAGAAAGTGGGTGGAAGAGGATTTCTTCAGAAATATTCACAGTCAGATTTAAGCAATACAAGGGGATTTGGCTAGAGGTAAGCTTCCTTTATCCAAGTTACAGTCTTGCTAGAATGAGAGGGACCAGGACCAAATTAAGTGGCCCTCAGGGGTTTTCTGTGGTCATATTTAATATACATAATCTACAATCTTAGTGTCAATCTTTAAACAGCGCATTTCCAAGGTAACTCCATAGATTTTAATAGCATTTTATTATTAGTTGCCAAGCACTTTTAACATGAGCCTCTGGCTTGGAAGATTGCTTATTAGCACTCCCTGTGCTATTGACATTAAATATTAAAAGAATTACTCAATACAATAATACTATATTAACTAAAGAGAAAAAACTCCAAAAGTTGTATTATGCCTGTCTCCTAGAAATTGATTGGTCATTAAAAAAAAGTAATGGTATGATTGCTGCAGAACGAGCATGGCAAACAAGCAGCAACATAATCAGGATTTAAGAAGGACATAGAAGGGGGTACAAATTCTGGGATTTATCACTTTTTAGCAAAATACATTACATTTACTGATTCAATTTAGCGCCCGTGGCACTTATTTACTTTTAGTATCTCAAGGGAGGGCACTTATTTAAGACAAGGTGCTTATTCAGGACAGGGCGCTTACATGCATTTCTTTTTTGAGAAACAACCAAATGTTCAAAACAAAACTTGAAGAACTTATTAATTGAGATCACTCGTTTGAAGGAACTATGCACTCACATGGACATGATAGTGGCGGGAAACTCAGACGAAGACCACTGTTTCTGTAATGCGAGGCATTACATATGTGAGCAGTTAAGGAAGTGAACCTGCATTGATACGTACTCTGACGGCACTGTAATATTTCAATATTACAATAGGGGCGCTTATTAGAATTGGGGTGCGTAGTGGAGTAGGGGCGCTCATTACAGTGCAACTACTCAAACTGGGCCACTTTGAAAAGACTTAACCAACCAGAACGTTACTTGAGAACAAAAGATAGTGATCGTTTTCTCAAATAAACCAAGAACATTGAAGAATACGTACAATTTATATATCTCGATAAAATTGAATACCCAACAAAGTGCGAAGTGTTGCCAACCTCTCAGGAAACTTTGCTATTTGTTGATTGGTTAGTTTTGATCCTAATTTTATACGCTTTTCAATGGTTTTGGTTTAGCTGTCACAAAATTAGTTTTCAAGCTAAATGTTTTGAGTGAGATTTGAAATTGCAATGATTTCCCCTTCAAGGAATGAATCCCTAAGAGTGTATGTAACGCTAAGGAGTTGATAGAGTTTATGTTTTCATGTCAAACAGACTGTTACTTGCTGTCACAAGAAGCTACCAGTCCATTGTTCTCAGTTTATATTCTGATCGGTTAGATTTCTTTAAGGTGGCCCAGTTCGAGTAGTTGCGCTGTAATAAAAACACATTTGAAGGGGGCCACTTATTCGAAAGGGGGTACTTATTGGAAGGAGGGCGCTAAATTGAATTATTACCATAACCAGAGTGGACTGCGCCACTTTTTACCAGAGTGCATTGCGCCATGAACAACACAAGGATGTCACACCATCTTTTTGGGTGGAATCCAGTGAGAAAGGTTTAATAGTGGTTATGTTATGCTCTGATTTACCCATAAAAGGATGTGAAGGAGATTATGCTTGACTTTCACAACTCTTGGTTTTGTTCTTAATGCAGTATGTGAAAGTTTGTAAATCTGGATGATTAATTGTGACATCTTAATTTTAAACTTATGTATGTCACTTCTTAGCAGTCTTGCCTCCTTGGTTGAATTCTTAAATGAAGAGAAACCATCGTTACTAAAGCTTGTAGAATAATTAAAACAACAAAAACCGTAGAACACGCTAATTTCATATATGCTGCGGTCTATTCCTTTTCATCCAAACTTGAATTTCAGTTAAAGCTTTAGCATTTTCACACATCATGGTGGACGCATCCTCGACACAATCTGTCAACATTCAGATAGAGACATTTAATGCGTACCAGTACAGCATTTACAAGTTAGATTTCTGCTTCTACAATTTCCACATCTTTTGATTTTTGCAATCTGGTAAAGGGGAGGTTGAAGTGTATCGTTTTATGTCCAAACATAGTTCAGATCACCACATGTTTTTTGTCAATCCCTTGTCACGTCAACTTGCCGTCAATGCATCATCATTGATGTTCAGTTGATGCATACGAGGACAGATTCCCCATGATTTGACACTACTTTAAGAAATAAAGGTTAATGTAAGTCTCGGAACGCACAGGTAGATGAATCACTGTGTAAAATATGTCACTATCAACAGAATGTGCCGTAGCATTAACATCTTTTAGATACCCCAGTATAAATATAGATGTGGCCTGCCTAGATTAGCCCAGACCACACTGTACCCACAGGTTCTTGCTGTTATTGTATTTGAATTTCTAACTTAATTATTTTTAATAATTAAGTGTAGATGTAAGACAACTCATTAACCTAAAATTCATGGCTGTAAATTAATGAAAAAGGAATAAAGTTTTGTTGTTTTGCTGTTTTGTTGTTGTCAGCAAATGGGACAAAACATGGCATCTTCTTAGAACACCATCCATGGCCTTCCTCTCATCCACCTGGTTTGAAATGTTTGAGATCTTTTGTTATTATCGTAACTTTTGTTGGCTTCCTGAAAATTTTCCTTAATATTCCTTTGTTTTTTGGTTGGTGGTAGCTCACAACCAGAGAGAACTCTCCACATATTGTTGTTGATAAGTGTTCCAAAACCGTAGGGTGAGTCTGGAGTCCTGTGGCAACAGAAAAATGAAAATGACATCTCACTATGGACACAAAGACTTGGAATTTTTTATGAAATTGTTTTAATAGTCTTTTAGTAGATATTAACTAGATTAACATGACTGTGCCATTTTTAGCATTTGCACTTACATACAGCATACCATGGTTTTTAGGTTTTCTTTTTCTTTTTTTCAGTGGAAGGCAGACATGGATAATACACTTTCAGGCAGGATCCTTCGCCTTATTGTCACTTGCAATTATACAAGTGGTGATCCACCCGCAGTTAATGGTTGCTTACTTTTTAAGGCTGTGGGAGCTGTTACCTGTGAGTGTGTTGTGATTCAGACATGGCATGTAGTACAAATTCATTACAATTATCAGTTGAGTAAGGCACAAAGGAAGTTTGATTAGGAAGTTTTGGCCTTAAAATTATGGTGTTGTCACAGGCAACTTACCTCGTTTCCATTGGTAACAATATCAACAACAGCCGTGCATCGCCTGTCGCGTCGCCTACAATTTCGCATGCTTTGCTGCCAATGACGTCAAAGGCCGACAAGTTGCCAATGGATGCGGAGCCAGTTGTTCGTGACAACAACAGGATTTTTACGTTAAAACTTGGTGACCAAACTTTCATCCCGCCTTACTCAGCTGATAAGCGTAGTAATTATTAAGGCTAGCAGAGTCTGAAAAATTCTACATTATGGATCTGTAACATTATTTCCTTTGAAAGCAGTCTTAATATATAGATTTAGGCCAGCCTAAAAGTATAGCTCCTGGGCCAGGTTGTTCAGATCCCGATTAAGCTAACCCAGGAAAAGGAAGAATTTTGATTTGAGTTTTGAAACTTTGCAGTGAGGTTTTCTGTATATTGTTTGGCCTTCTGTTTTGAGTTTTAGTAATCACTATATACACAAAACAAAGCAGCAAAAAACATTTGTATAGAAGAAAAAGTTATAATTCAGTTACATGTAACTTTTAATCCTGGGTTAGCGTTAACCGGCTTCAGAACAATCCTGCCGCTTTCAACAAGTTAACCTGACATGAGCCCGTGATCTAATCAAAAACCAGCACTTGGTCAGCAGTCAACTTCAAAAAGACACATGACATCGATGAGTTGTAAACTTGAGCCCACAATATGGTCACGTGATACTGGTCAGCAGATACCTTGTTTTGACAGGTACGTGTCAATTGATCATAACGTGGATGTCCAATATCAAAGAAGTACATGGTAAACCAAGGCTGCATGTCTCTGTATTTGGAGTATGGCCGCCATGTTGTGCGACTCCGCCATTGCCGTCGCTGTCGTGCGTACACGCCCACGAGCAATACCGCTAGCCATGATAACCGTGAGAAAATCCACTCATGGGTTTCCTTTTCTTTCCTATATGAGTATGGGGCTCTGCTAATAATTGTTTTCTTTTGCCGCTCCCCCCCACTTATTGTTTCATTCAATCAGATGAATACTTAAAAATGTTCGGTGTGTAGCCAGGCATGTTAAAAATTGGTAAAAAAGGAAAGGAATTAAATGGTTGTCACTGGCTAAAAATATGGTTATCGGACG